ATCAGCATGCTCGATTATCCCCCTTGTGCCAACTCCCAGCTCCATAGGTCGAACTTCGCGAAAAGAATTTGATGAAATCTATAGAATCGATACGATGACGAAAAGTAACCTACGACACCCGCTCCTCCCCGAAGTGTATGTGTGCCAAGTTTGATTTGGATCTGTTCTAAATGGAATTTTCTATTCGGAACATATGTACACATAGATATACATTACAGACATAAAGACATACAGCAAACACACTTTCAGCTTTATATATAAAAGAATGTGCTTAGCAAGAAATATCCTATTTTGTGCAACACTCTAATTTTAAGCATTCCAAATGCATGATTTCGTCTTCGGTAAAATAAAGCAAAAAGTAGATTGCTGTCTTTTAGTGACACCGAGTAGCTGTCGAATAGCATTCTCTTTTGCATCAACTCCTTGTTCATGGTGGTTAATTTATGAACTCATTCAAACTGACTGTTTATGCTCAAGAATTTTCAATCAAAGAGGAGAAAGCTCCATCGTATCTTTGCATGTACGGCAAACACTCATACTTTGATTAGTCTCCGATTATTTCGGAAAAAAATGGTGCATCACGACATTGACTTTTGAAGAAGTCTTCATAGACTGTTTTGCATTGCATAAACATCAAGTTCCGCAATGTTCCTTAGAAGCGTGCAATATTCTGCTCTCTCTATTTTTCCCTTTCTCTCTTGCTCTCAAGCTGTGCCATTTATTCATGACTCACTTCTTGCTCTCCCGAGCAATCCTTCCAAAGTTCATTCTAAAGGTCTTATTAACTGCCCACTGGTGATCTCTAATATGAAGAGAAAAAACAGCGCTGGACAGATTTTTGTAAAAGCTAGGTTGTACGTTTCCAGGTCTGATCTGTTGCTCGATCGGAAACGAAACTTCCCACCTCAATCGCCATAGTTTTCACGTTTGCCTACTCTTTGCCTTTGATGCGAATTTAGAGAGCAAAAGATAGAAAATAAAGTAAAAAATTCTTATTGTAAACAGTTCTCGATGTTAGTAATCTCGCGTTCCTAATAGATTTACGACATTGTTGATTAGAAAACTGGTTTTACACCTGATTACATTCGAAAGATATAAGAAACTTTCTTCTTTTGTGCTGTCATGTTTCGAACCATCAACCAACAATCTTTACTCAGGGTTACTGTGCAATTTCATAAACAAGTCAACCTAGATAGACATTTATAGAATCTATCTGAAGAATTTCGAATACCCAGATTCTTCATTCACCAGTTAGTCACTATGCATGCAATAAACAGAGATATTACAAATGGAGCACATCTTCTACGTGAATGACAAAAATGAGACCACTACAGTACAATCGGTGTTATTTCGCAAGTAACTATGTGGAAGCAAATCAATCGTCTATGATTATTCTTCAGAAAAAATCTAAATATCTAGCAGTTTTTTGAACCTTGTGCCACATCCGTGGTGGGATCGTCCGAGACTCTGTAAATATGGAGGCTTGATATAAGCAGAACGTCTTTTTTTTCAACAACATTAGCTAAAGATAAGAGCTGTGAACCGTTGAGACTACTTTTTTAGTTAAAAGGTAGAGTCCCAGCAGATTTGAGTTGTCGGAAAAATGGCAAACGCCTTCTGAATGGGAGCGCGGGCCTTAATCGGCGCGCTGTACGACTTCGGTGACTCAGTCTGCAGGGGACCCACACTCCCGACTACAATAAAATCATTCAGAACCATAGTCTCTGCGCTCCAATGGAGCCATGATTAATGCTAGGGCCCTTTATGCAGTTAATACTTTAATACAATAAACTTATGTTAATCATTACTTCGTTCAACGCCGGAAAGCCTCAGCAACTGCAATTACCTTAGTCAGATACTTGAGTTTTTACCTAAAGAAATTCCTCGTAACTCAACACCTAGAAGAATCAACGTTCCATGCTCTACAAGGCAGTATACATCTCTTATGGGACTCCACTTCGACCAAGTATTCTTCCCTCGTAAGATTGAACTAATCAAACTCACACTTGCTCATTTCGAAAATCCGTTGCTGCAATTTTGCGCTTTGCTGCCTAAATCAAAGACAAAAAGACATAAAAGATCTTAGACTTACACAATCATTCACATACCGTATCCATCTCAATGTCTGGCAGGTCTGGAAGATGGAATCCTATGACAAATTCGTAAAGCCAAGCACCAATTACGCCTCCAATCATAGGACCAACAATGGGGATCCAGAACCAGCAGTAATCACGATAGCTTAAGATGAAAGTCAAGAATCTTCTGCAATTACTGAACTGGATCAATACCTGAAAACTTCCCATCCGTATCCTGCACATAAAGTGAATAAACGAGGACCAAGATCACGAGCAGGATTAATGGCATAGCCTATAAGACATTCACGTAAAGGGGGCAGATAATATGCAGGCCGTACCAGAATTGTGGCCAAACGCCATGCCAATGCCGACTAGTAGAAAACCTATGCAGCCTGGTTGGAGAAACTGTGGAATTCCGTTGCGCTTATCAACAATGGTGGCTACACCCATGCAGAGCATAACTGTACCGAAGATCTAGAAACAAAGCGTTTTCGATTTATCCTTCAAAAATGGCTTGCCTAACCTGATCGATCATCCCTCCGACTACGGTTAAGTAAGGTTTGGGATACGTGGAAAATATGCCTGCCGTAGCCATTGGTCCAGTCACTTGGCGCTCTCCTTGGTCATAGTCATTGATGCCTTCTAGATA